TTAACTTTATTTATTACTATAATTTAACCAGAGAGGGACAGAGTGAGAGACAGAGAAAGTGAGAAAGCAAACCACCAGGTCCAGGACTCGAACCCTGGTCAGCCATGTGGGAGTACAGTACTCTTGCCCACTACGCCACCAGCCAATCCCCCTGCTTTCTTCCAGAGACAAAGAGATAGCACCCCTAACAGTCTTCCTGTTGGGATTCTCCAGCCCTTGGGCCATGAGCACACACATAACCTGGCATATTCTGTGAGACATTTGGATAAGAACCCAGGATCTCCCCAAATGGATCAGCTTCAAGAGCCTCGCTTTTTACCACTGACCACTGTACAGTCCAAGATTTGCATTTAAAAACATTTATCAGTGTACATAATTGCTAAAGCTGAAAATTGTGAATACTAGACTTTCAATATATTTGAATGAGTTTAAAAAATTCTAAAGTACCCAATCTATTTCTAATGTACATGAAACCTCATGAGGAAATGGTAAAGGGAGGAACTTCTTGATGTGTTTAAGAGTAGGACATTACCCCTGTTTGAAGATGCAGAATTGTGCAGGTCGGCGGGGAGATGAGGGCAGAAAGCTCCAGATGACTCTGAACACCAAGCCTTATTTGTGAAGCATTGAATGTGTTTTCTGTTTGTTCGTTTTCAATTACCAGAGGGTGTAAGCACTCCAGAAAGAATCAGAGACAGAGAAAGACAGGGAGAGGGAGAAAGCAGCCTCCCCTCACACAACACACTCCACCAATGGGACATGGTCATGCCACGATCCCCTCTCCTCCATGTCTTCATCCTGTAACAACAAACACCTGCATGTTCCTCAAGCCACCAGTACTGGGACTCAGACTGCAGCCAGGTATGTGGGATCTGACTCCCCTAACTAATAGGCCGTGGGCTGACCTCTCATTGTAGATGTTTTAAATGGGGGATTATATGATTAAACTAATCCCACTAACCAAGGTATTAAAGGGGCCAGTAGGTGGCATGGTGTTTAAGGCACTGAATTCCCACATAGATGACCACAGTTTGAGCCCCAAACCTGGTGGCTTGCTTTCTCATTTTCTCTCTCTCTCTCTGTCTCTCTCTGGTCAAATTAACTAATAATAATAATAATAATAATAATAAACAAAATTAAATAAATAATTCTTTTAAAAATTAGAAAAAGATCTGAATTTCAGCACAAAAGCAGAAAGGATCATTATAATAGCCACTTTTATTTATTTTTAAATTTTTTCCTAGTACTTGTTATGTTCTAAGAACTTTACATAAACTAATGTATTCCTTAGAGTGATTTGATTAATTAGAATTATTATTCATATTGAACAGAAGAGGGAACAGGCTGTGAAAGGTTATATAACGTATCCAATACTGCAGAGTTTTTAAGATATAGTAAAGAGATTCAGACTTATCTCTATAAAACTTCCAAGCCCATGTGCTTAAATATTCTACTGGGCCAGCTTGGCAGTACAGCGCTGCTCAAGTGATCCATATGGAAGATTGTGGGTTCAGTTCTCCAGTCAGCCTACATATGCTGGGTGCCAGGTACCCATAATAATCCTGACTTGCTGGAAAGGCTGGGGTAGGGGAAGAGTGGGGATGGGGGAATCACAGTGTGACATCCTGCTGAGGGTGCTTCTCTTTCTCTCTCCCTGTGTCATAAAAGAAATTAAAAAACTTTAAAAAATTCGACCATCCTACTTCCTTATCTGAACCTAAATCAAGGAACATATTTCAAATGAAACCTTAGACCCTTTGATAAAGCATGTGAACTGGTAGGCAGCCCCTAAGATGGTCCTCAATGATGCTCATTTCCAGTATCCGTGCCCTCAAAGAATCACCTCTCTTGAGTGTGGGCTGGATTTACTGGTTCACGTCTCACCCACAGAATACAGCAGAGTAGTGGGATGCACTTCTTAGACTGATTGGCTTTGCTCTCAGGCATTCTTCCTGCTCTTTCTTGCTCTGTCTCGTGGATCATTCTCCCGAGGGAAAGCTAGCTGCCATACTGGAACGGATGAGGATCTTGTAGCAACTGGGAGTGAGCTGGAAGGACAGCCCTTCCCCTAAGGGGCATGCAAGCCTTCTGATGGCATGTCTGGCTGGGCCAACAGCTGGATGGCAACTATAAGAAAGAAGCTGAGCCAGAGACTCCCAGGCTGTGCACCATTCCTGACCCACAGAAATGTTTATTGGTTGAGCTGCTAAAGTTAGAGGTAATTTGTTACCCACTACTAATACAGTCAGTAGAAGGCAATTATCTAATTTACTATTGCAGAGTAAATCTTTGCCATTGTATTTGGAGCTAGGAGGTGGGAGTCTGCCTTGGAGAGATTAATACCTGAAATAAACCACAGGCAACCAGCTCAGATGAGAGAACACTGTGTCCTGGACCTTTCCACCCAAATATAAGCAAGTCAGGCCATTTCTCTATCTCCTTCTCCCATGGTTCCTCTTGCTGTCTTCATTTTCCTTTTATTTCCTTCCTCCCACTCTTCTTCACGTTCTTCCTTCCTTTTTTCTCTTTTTTTTTTTTTTTTTTTTTTTTGCCAGAGGACACATAAGAGAAAATGAGAGAGGGAGAAAGTGTCCCCACTGGGGCTGCTGACACTACAGTCTTTTCTTCCTCCAATTTTTCATCCCATCATGATTCCCGGGCACACATGTACCCAGTGTGAGAATACGGGGCTGGGACTCAAACCCCAGTCAGTCTTGTGCAATCTAGTTTCCTCCTCACGGTACCTAACCACTGTGCTATGAGACTACCCTCATTCTCCTTTACTTGAATACATTCTGACTAAGAATACTAAAATTCATACTTTGAGGTTGATAAAATTGTTTTAGACACAGTTTTTGTTTTGTTTTATTTTGTTTTGTTTTGGGGGGAGAGTTTTTTGCTATAGGGCATGTGCACTCCCCAGAAAGAGACAGAGAGACAGAAAGTGAGAAATCACCCCCCAAGGGGGATGGCCATGCTGCAATCTCTTCTCTATTCTCCTCTCAGGATCTTGGGCATGCACGCACACGTGCCCGGCGTGAGTTTAAGCCACCGGGTCTGGGACTCAAACCACCGTCAACTACATGGGAGTCCAGCGACATAGCATTACACCAGCTGCTGGTCCCTGACGAGGTTTTTATTTCTCTTTCCTTTTCAAAGATCACACAGTACATTTTATATTCCTCCTATTATAGCACCTAACATTCTTTCTCATTGGTAACTATTAAGTGTGTTGAAGATGGTGCCTGTTTCTAGGCACCCTCTCCCCTCACTCCTTATGAGAACTATGTCTTGGACAATCTTATGTCCTCAGTAATTAGTATTTAAAATATGGTTGGGACTTAATAAAATTTGAATGAGTGAATTAAAATGTACAACCAATGAATAAATGAGTGAAGAAGTGAATGGGCAAGAGACGGAAAGATGGGAAAAAACCCTTGAATCAGGTTGTACAAATATGGACCTTCACATGAGCCATGTCCTTCTCTCTATAGAATGACTACCACTTACCCTATCCTCACCCACAACTGCAACTCTTTGCCAGGCTTTCTCTCTTTGACACTCACCTCAACTATCCATGCCCTTGCCTCTGTGCACCTCCCCTCATGCACATGTACCCAGTGTGGGAATATGTGGCTGGGACTCACACATCCCCCTGCCAGGGCAGCCTCTCCTTTGCCTGCTTGAAAGCCTTTTCTTTATGTGCCCATGACCTCCTGGGCATACCTTGGTCACAGCATCCACAACACATACTGTAGTGACTGGTTAGGTGTCATTTCTACTTGACTCCAAGCCCTGGAAGGCCAGTATCTTCATCTGTGCTGACACATCCAGCCAGCAGCCCAGTGCCTGGCAGGAGTAGGCACTCCAAAACAGTTTGAAATAATGATTAGATAAATGGGAAAAAGAAAACTCTGCATTTGAAAAAAATAATCATAACCGGTTTGTGCATTTCAGGTAAGATGCCAATCAGACACTCCTAAGTAGAACAAAATCAATAAAACTGTACAACAAGATTCTTGCTTAACCAGGAAATTATCATTAGAAAAAGTGTTTTAAGTCAAAGACAGGACCCAGGCGCAAGGGTCCTTAACACAATCTTTCCTTT